TCAGGGCCAGCCTCTGGGGGGCCCCTGAGGTGACCGGCTGCTGGGCCCTCCAGGAGAAGAGGCTGGCCCAGTGGGTACATACCAGGGTCGACCCCGGTATGTACCCACTGAATCTGGGGCCCGGACGACCTGAGCAGTCCGGGCCCCCAAGGACCGCCGGGCCCATGACAACCGTTGCGGTTGTCATGCCCTGATGGCGGCCCTGATGGCCTCTTTACGAGTCGGCTCCTCAAAGACTTGTTTTAGAGACAATCCCAGTAGGGAGTTTAGAACAGGTGTGCTCCTGGCACAAGTAGCTAATTTTGTTTTCCAATTTACACCAGGAAGATTAAAGTCACCCATGATGATAACTTCCCCCTTCATTGTAATTTTAGCTATTTCCTCAACTAGTAGATTATCTAACTCTTCCATTTGTCCTGAGAGCCTATAAATCACACCTACACAAGTTACTGTGTGATTACCAAATTGTAACGTAACCCAAACGGGCTCTATGTTTGCCTCACTAACTTTTATTAGGCTAGATATTATTCTATCCTTCACATACAGGGCCACCCCTCCCCCTTTCTTGCCTTCCCTGTCTTTCTATATAAAGAGTACCCTGGTATTGCTATGTCTCAGTAAGAGTGACTAAATCTACATTATCAGTTGCCATTATTGCCACAAGTCCATGGATCTTATTCCCTAGAATGTGAGCATTTGTAGACATGACTCTAAGCTTATCTTTTTTTAACACATTTTCTACAGGCACCTTCCGTCCTTGTTTTGGGGGAAAATTGGATTTATGTTTTATCACCCTTTTGCCCCCCCCCCCTTCCCTCCTAGTTTAACCCCTTAAGGACACATGACATGTGTGACATGTCATGATTCCCTTTTATTACAGAAGATTGGTCCTTAAGGGATTAAATACATCCTAGCAAAACCTCTGAACTACTCACTGAGAACATTTGTTACCTTTTGAGAAAGATGCAAACCATATTTTTTGTACAGTTTATTTCCATCCCAAACAGAGCTGCTATGAGAAATGAAGCCAAATCCTTGCTCCCGACACCATTCACCAAGCCAAAAGTTAAAGTCCCTAATACGCATCAGCCTGTAATTCTGAGTGTTATGCACAGGCAAAACTTCAGAGAATGACATTGGTAAAAACACAAAAAAACTTCCTTTACCTCTGAAACCTCATTGCAAGCCAAGTCATTTGTCCCTAGATGGACAAGTACATCCAATTCCCCTTCCTGCTCTGCTCGCTTAACAATATTACAAATACGTCTCCTTTCTGAGCCTGTCTCCATAACACCACTATACTTGGTGTCTGAGCCTGTCTCCATAACACCATTACACTCTGAAAGGGCAGAAAATTAATTATGTAGAGCAACAGACTGATAGAGGATCTAAGCATTAAAACCGGGATAACGGCTGAGAAAGGTTATAATAACTATTGATTCAAGGAAACAATATCAAAACTTTTACCCAATTACAAGAGGAATTTTCCTTACCAAGCCAAGAATTATTTACCTATCTAAGGCTCAAGAATTTTGTTTAAGCCCTTAAGGACGGAGCCAAATGTACACGTTGTGAACAAAACAAAATGTAAACAAAATGTAAACAAAACCTGGCATTTGCGCTACATGTCTGTCCAACTGTAATTCACCTCTTTCATAGTAAATGCACTCTTATTATATATCATTTTATTCAGGAGAAAGAGGGCTTTCATTTAATATCAAATATTTAGCAATGAAACATAATTTAATATGAAATAAATGGGAGAAAATAAGATTTTTAAATTTTTTTTTAGTTCTACATAGTTACATAGTTACATAGCTGAAAAGAGACTTGCGTCCATCAAGTTCAGCCTTCCTCACATATGTTTTTTGCTGTTGATCCAAAAGAAGGCAAAAAAACCCAGTTTGAAGCACAATTTTGCAACAAGCTAGGAAAAAAAATTCCTTCTTGACCCCAGAATGGCAGTCAGATTTATCCTTGGATCAAGCAGTTATTACCCTACATTGAAAGATTATATCCTTGAATATTCTGTTCTTGCAAGTATGCATCTAGTAGCCTTTTGAACATCTGTATGGACTCTGATAAAACCACTTCTTCAGGCAGAGAATTCCACATCCTGATTGTTCTACAGTAAAAAAACCTTTCCTTTGCCTTAGATGAAATCTTCTTTCTTCCAGTCTAAACGCATGGCCTCATGTCCTATGTAAAGTCCGGTTTGTGAATAGATTTCCACACAATGGTTTGTATTGGCCCCGAATATATTTGTATAATGTTATCATATCCCCTCTCAGGCGACGTTTTTCTAAACTAAATAGGTTTAAATTTGTTAACCTTTCTTCATAGCCTATATGTTCCATTCCTTTTATTAATTTTGTAGCCCGCCTCTGCACTTTTTCTAGTGCCATAATATCCTTCTTTAGAACAGGTGCCCTAAAATTGCACAGCATATTCAATATGGGGTCTTACCAGTGATTTATAAAGAGGCAAAATTATATTCTTGTCCCGAGAATGAATGCCCTTTTTCATGCATGACAATACCTTACTGGCCTTGGCCACTGCTGATTGACATTGCACATTGTTGTATAGTTTGTTGTCTATAACAATTCCCAAGTCCTTTTCATGTGTTGTTATCCCTAATTCGCTTCCATTAAGGGTATACGTTGCTTGTGTATTCTTTACGCCGAAGTGCATAACTTTGCATTTTTCAACATTAAATTTCATCTGCCATTTGAGTGCCCAGTCTCCCAGTCTATCTAAATCCCTCTGCAGCAAAGTAATATCTTGCTCACATTGTATTGTTTTACAAAGTTTTGTGTCATCTGCAAACACTGAAACATGACTTTCAATGCCGTCTTCAAGATCATTTATAAACATGTTAAATAGAAGGGGTCCCAGAACAGACCCCTGAGGGACACCACTTGCCACCTCTGTCCAGCTTGAAAATTTACCATTAATGACAACTCTTTGTACTCTGTTTTTAAGCCAATGTTCTACCCAAGAACAAGCATTTTCATCTAGACCGATTTCCTTGAGTTTGAACACTAATCTATTGTGTGGAACTGTATCAAATGCCTTGGCAAAATCCAAAAAGATCACATCCACGGCAACACCCTGATCTATACTTCTACTTACTTCTTCGTAGAACGCAATCAAGTTAGTTTGACATGACCTGTGCTTCGTAAAACCATGCTGATTTTTGCTGATAACCATGTTCTGCTCAAGGAATTCTTGAATATTATCCCTTAATAAACTTTCAAATATTTTACCAGCCACAGAAGTTAAGCTCACAGGTCTATAATTTCCAGGCAAGGATTTTGAACCCTTTTGAATATAGGAACCACATCTGCCTTCCTCCAATCCTCCGGAACACTTCCTGAAAGAAAAGAATCTTGAAAGATTAAAAACAGAGGTTCACTTATTTCTGCACTTAGTTCTTTAAGTACACGTGGATGGATACCGTCAGGCCCTGGAGCTTTGTTTATATTAACTTTCTTTAGTTGCTGCAGCACCTTGTCTTGAGTTAACCAATTACAATTATTCTGCAAGTTTTTAGTAGCAATCATTTGCATATCTATTGCCATGGGTTCTTCCTTAATATATACGGAGGAGAAAAAGTTATTTAAAATTCCTGCCTTTTCCTGGTCTTCATTAATTAACACCCCCGTTTCAGTTTTTAGTGTACCTACACTTTCATTTTGTTTTGTTTTTAGAATTTATGTACTTAAAAAATGCTTTGGGGTTGGTTTTGCTCTCTTCAGCTATCATTATTTCATTTTGAAGTTTAGCAAGTCTAATTGCCTTTTTGCACGCATTATTTGCATCCTTTTATAAGATGCATCTGATTTGTCCGATTTAAATGCTTTAAATGCCCTTCTCTTAGTTGTAATCTCTTGTTTTACTTCTCTACTAAGCCATGTTGGTTTTAATTTGTTTCTTTTATATTTATTTTCCAATGGTACATACTGAGAAATGTACCTTTGTAATATTTGTTGGAAGATGATCCATTTATCCTCAGTGTTCTTTTCACTAAAGAGTTTATGCCAGTCAATATATTGTAAAGCTTCCCTTAACTTATTGAAATTGGCCTTTTAAAAATTATATGTTTTAGTATTCCCCATGTGCTTTTGTTTTTTTGAGTTTATTTCAAAGGACACTATATTGTGATCACTATTTCCCAAGTGCTCACCTACTTGAATGTTGGTCAAAAGATCAACGCTGTTTGTTAAAACCAGGTCCAGACAAGCATCCATTCTAGTTGGTGCTTGCACAAGTTGTGACATGAAGGTGTCATTTAACAAGTTTAAAAACCTAATTCCCTTTGCTGAGGCACTAGTCCCTCTGTCCCAATTTATATCCGGGTAATTAAAATCTCCAATAATTAAAGTGTTACCCAGATTTGCAGCTTTCTCAATTTGCTCAAACAGCTGTTGTTCCTCATCAATATTAACATTAGGTGGTTTATAACATATCCCAACCAATAGTTGGTTTCCCTTCTTTTCCCCCAAGCAGATATTTACCTCATAAAGCTTCCACATTATCCTCCTCGCATTCCATTTGCTTAACATTTGGCTTTAAATCATGTTTGACATACAAACATACCCCACCACCCTTCTTGTTTTTCCTATCCTTCCTAAATAACATGTACCCATTTAAGTTAGCTGCCCAGTCATGTGTCTCATCCCACCATGTTTCAGTTATGCCTATTATATCATATTGTTTAGTGTATGCTAATGCCTCTAGTTCCCCCATTTTGTTATTTAGGCTCCTTGCATTAGTAAGCATACATTTAATATTATGCGCCACTTGTATATTTTGTGAATTTTCAACATTACACAGCTTCTCTGTTCTGAGCTTGCCCCTCCCCCCGTTTCCACCCCCCTTATACTGTGCTAAAGCCCATCTCCTTTCTGTCCTATCTCCATTTTGTAGATTGCTATGACCCTCCTCCCCTACTACTAGTTTAAAATCTCCTCCAACCTTCTAGCCATCCTATCCCCCAGCACTGCAGACCCTCTCCCGTTTAGGTGCAATCCATCACCACTATAAAGGTTGTACCCAATCGCAAAGTCGCCCAGTGCTCTAAAAACCCCAAACCCTCCTTCCTGCACCAAGACTTAAGCCACGCATTGACCTCTCTAATCTCCCGCTGCCTTTCCACTGTAGCACGTGGCACAGGTAATATCTCAGAGAATACCACCTTGGAGGTCCTTTTCTTAGTTTGCTACCTAATTCCCTGAAATCATTCTTTAGGACCTTCCATCTTCCTCTTACTTTGTCATTGGTACCAACATGGACCATGACCGCTGGGTCATCCCCAGCCCCTCCCAATAATCCATCCACTCTGTCAGCAACATGCCGGACCCGAGCACCCGGGAGACAGCAAACTGTCCGGTTGAGCCGATCAGAGCAGCAGATTGCCCTATCTGCTCTCCTAATGATAGAGTCCCCTACCACCACAACCTGTCTTGCCTTCCTTACATTTTGATCCCCACCCGTACTAGGGGGGCTGTTAGAAGTAACAGCTTCCTCTAATACAGCTACTCCTGAGCTGATGCTCCCAACATCTTCCCTCAAGCGGGCAAATCTGCTAGGTTGCACCAAATCAGGACTAGCTAGCCCTTTCCTCTTCCCTCCCCCCCTGCTTCCTCGCCCCACTGTCACCCAGCTACATGCCTGTTCCCCATCTGTCTTATCTCCTCCCTCTCCACTACCTGTCCCCACTAAACTCTGCTCAGTGAGCAGTAGACTCCTCTCAAGATTATCAATCTCCCTCAATGTTGCGATTTGCTTCTCAAGATCTCCAATCTGAGCTTCCAGAGAAGCCACTCGCACACAACCATCACAGAGGTATGGACCCTGGATGGGTACATCCAGGCATCCATACATGCAACAAGATGTGCATTGAGTTAAACCAGCAATCTTGCTAACACTCATTTCCCCTTTAAACAGTAAATAAAAACAGTTACCTTGTTAGTTTAAACCCCTTGTTAGTTTTAACTCCTGGTTTTCTAACTCCTACTTGAAAGAGTCTACTTAATAGAGGCTGCTTTCAAATAATGTGAGCAAGCTCAGTGAGTTAGGGGTGTGCCTTTATGGGGATACAAATCCCACACAGGTGTAATTAATAAACACTCCCCCAATCAATCAAGCAGCAGCACACAAAAAAGGGGGGGGAAACCAGAACACAAAAAAATTTTAAAAAAAAAGTAAATTTAAAAAAACAAAAATAAAAAACAAACCACTCTCCACAGTATACAAACCACTCCAAGTAACTCCTGGTTTTCTAACTCCTACTTGAAAGAGTCTACTTAACAGAGGCTGCTTTCAAATAATGTGAGCATGACATTTTAACTGTCAATGTCATAATACTGTTTGCTTTTACTGCAATAAAATACACATATTTGCATTCAGCAAAGTCTCACGTGTAAAACAGTACCCCCTATGTACAGGTTTTATGGTGTTTTGGGAAGTTACAGGGTCAAATATAACACGCTACATTTGAAATTGAAATTCGCCAGATTGGTTGCGTTGCCTTTGAGACTGTATAGTAGCCCAGGAATGAAATTTACACCCATAATGGCATTTGCAATAGTAGACAACCCAAGGTATTGCAAATGGGGTACGTCCAGTCCTTTTTAGTAGCCATTTGGTCACAAACACTGGCCAAAGTTAGCGTTAGTATTTGTTTGTGTGTGAAAAATGCAAAAAACGCCAATTTTGGCCAGTGTTTGTGACTAAATGACTACTAAAAAAGACTAGACATACCCAGTTTGCAATATCTTGGGTTGTCTACTATTGCAAATGGTATGCCATCATAGGGGTAATTTTCATTCTTGGGCTACCATAGGGTTTCAAAGGCAACGTAACCAATCTGGCGAATTTTAATGTGAAAAAAATTAAACATAAGCCTTATATTTGACGCTGTAACTTTTGAAAACACCATAAAACCTGTACATGAGGGGTACTGTTGTACTCGGTGTTGGGGATAAAATCAGCCCGAGACCTTTGTGGATGATGGACATTTGCCAACTCATACAGAGCTCTGGAAATTGGAAATGAATAGCAGAGACATGTTCAATAACCAATTCAAATTGTATTCATACGTCAGTTATATTTATACCCCATTTTCATAGCAGGATGGGAGGGGGAAAAATAAGCATATGGGCGTGACAATGACATTGTTTTTCACAAGTTATAAACAGCTGTTTTTAGTTATAATTCGATGTTACATAATGTATGCATATTGGATAAAACCCAGATGATTACAAATACCGAAATCTTGGACAATTAACAAGGTCATTCCAGAATCCTTATTATGTCATGTCATGTCATGTAAATATCCTTTTCCAGGAACATAACAAAATCATGTTCCAATAAATAGATAAGTTTTATTTCCGAGAATTGGAGATACAATTCCAAATTTATTCTTGGGTCAAATTAACCCTTATATGAACAGCTAAGATATTGAGCATAATGGATATTCGCATCTACAATTCCCCTCTTAGATCATATCATGATCTACCTTACGGAATATCCATGGGAGGCCTGCGGCAGAGAAACCAACGGAGGTATATTCAGACGTGCTAATCACGTCTGCGGGACTTTTATTATTTCTTCACCTCGATTTCCCCCATTTGCTCTGTGCCGTAGGTTTTCCCTTTAAGAGGAGATCGTGCTGTCGATTTTCAGCTTTTGTAATCATCTGTTGTACACATCTTTTAAGTGTACAAGTTAAAAATTTCAAACAGCTGACATCTCAACCAATTTTAAACATACTGCACATCATGTTATCTGTAACTTGAGCCTTGGATCAAAACAGGCAAAGTGTATTATTCCCAACAACAGGAATATTATTATTATAATTCACAACGTAAACATATATAATCAAAAAATGGGAATAAAATCTATTTCCCCTCTTTGGACCAGGGTCTTGGATTACCAGTGCACCCAGTGAACTTGGGCCAGGTCAAAAAACCCAGTGGCAAAAACTCATAATTGAGGAAAAAAGCACATCTGGGTAAATTCTAAGCGAGGGCCATGACTGTGTAAACATGTCATCCCCTCACGTTGACAGCATTAGTGACTTATAAAACCTGCACTTTGTAAGTAAATAGCTCAGGTATCGGGATTGGGAAACACTTCTTGATTAGTTTGAAAAGGCCCACTTACATATTAAATCATGAGATCATTTCTAATCAGTTTGCAATTCTAACAATAATCGTAATCATGACCTTGCGTCCTATGCCTCCTAATCAAATCCCTATTTCGATGGTCCAGTCATATCCACACTTAATACATTGGAATCCATCCTTGGTACACTCAACATACATCAATGACACACATAGCACATCCATGCCTGAGTAAGCTAACACTTCCTCTCTCTCCGGCTAACTCTACAAAAATAAAAATAACAAAATAGTTCAATAGTCCAGCATAGTCCAGAAAAATATTATAAGTCTTTCAAGGAGTATAAAGAATCTTAGACACCATAAACTTTGTTCCATAATCTTAGACTCCATAACATAGCTAAGGGTTGCAATATGGCTGACAACAAGACAATGTCAGCTTCCACATAGTTCTTAATTCTTCTGTTTGCTGGATGTTCACCACAATACTTTGTGCAACACCCCAATTGTTGAAAGGGTAATACAGAAATAGTGGCATTAGACAGCACTGCATCTTCAGGACTTTCCAAGTTAGTTTATGCCCTCATAAGTAAGCATCTCAGTTTCTTCGGCCAGCATGGTTTTTGACCAAACAGATTTAATTGCAAAAAAGGTAGGTAGGCAGGTAGGTCAGCCAGAGAGATTGGTGTGTAGTCCCAAATATCAGGCGGCACAAATACTCCAGTACGGTCTCTATAATCATACAAACACAAGGATCAGTACGACATCAATAAATTAATTATCTAGGCTAAACTCAAATTAGAAACTAAAGTTAAACTCTTAACTAGTGTAACATGTACTTCTCTCAGTTTTGCTTATAATTCATTGAATTTGTCCTTTATAAAATTTTAATACATAATTTCCCTTTAAAATGCCTTTGTATGGATGAGAGAAGCACTCATTCTATATAAATGCTTGTTGAGTACTAAAACAATAACATATACATATTGGCATAATTCCCAATAAAATGCTGTTCTTAAATTTAAACCTTGATTTGATAATCTCAATTACTTACTTTAATAACATTGAAATGCTGAAGTCTGTCAGTTTTGTGGACCCTGATAACATCTTTGGAAACCGAAACCTTTTATAGATCCCGATGTCCAAAAAGCCACCAGTTCTATATGTGTGTGATCATGTTTTAATACATGGTGGAACCTCCATACAGTTATCCCACTTAAACAATATTTTTTACAGAACAACTAGAGAAACAAAGTGAATTACTATTGTTCTAAAGTGCTTTGTTTAATACAGGTTTCAGAAGTAGCCTCTGATAAGGAAAGGACAGCAAACTGGAGACATATGTTATTAAGTTGCCTTCACTTGTCAGGTCTTGGAAACACACTTATTTGGATACCTCTAGGATACCACGTTACAAATTGACTAAGCATGCTTATTATCCTATTTTATTTTAGATATTTCACATTGCACAGCCTATGCAAACAATGTCTAGGTCCCAACTTCAGCTTGTACATCCTCTAAGAGCCAGCATTAATACTGTTTTATCTATCAAAACTATATATAAAGTATTAAAAACATGAACCATCTGTGTATTAGGCTGAGGTTGTTGGGTGTGGGTATAGCTTGAAAGTTGTGGTTGGTATTGAGGAACCTGCCAGGGTGGGAGTCCTTGAATACCAGCTAGGCCAGGTTCTCCCTTAGCACCGGGTTCTCCTTTGTCTCCTTGAGCACCAGGTTCACCATTGTTACCCTTAGGTCCAGGGGAACCTTTGGGGCCCTGAGGTCCAGGAGCACCACAGGCACCAGGGAAGCCAGGGACACCAGCAATACCAGTGGGGCCAGCTTGACCAGGAGAACCGGGTTCACCACAAGCACCGGGTTCACCATCAGCATGAGGGGAATCATCCTAGCGCTTCTGCTTGCACTAGCAGGCTCAGAAAACATAGAAATAGAACCAGTCTTGAGTGAAAGCAAGACATCTGTGTTTAGCTATGAAGCGGAGATCAAGAATGGAATCCCTGAAATTGACTTACCCCGATCGGGTATGAAACTGAACGCTAAGGTTGAAATCAGCAGATATGCCCAGAACACCTACTTAATGAAGATCCGGTCTCCAGAAATAAGGGAATTCAATGGTTTGTTTCCCAAAGATCCGTTCATTCGATCAGCAAAGCTCTCCCAGGTCATTGCAGATCAGGTCTCAAAACCTATAAAGTTTGAATATCGCAATGGAAGACTTGGAGATATCCATGCCCCAGATATGATTTCAGAGCTGGTGCTCAACATTATTCGAGGAATTCTGAATATGCTTCAGATAACCATGAAGAGCACGCAAAATGCCTATGATGTTCAAGAGTCTGGCATTGGTGGAGTTTGTCAAACGAGATATGTCATCCATGCGAACAAGAAGGGAGATTTAATGAATGTTGTCAAATCTACTGACTTTAATAGTTATCTGAACAAAGTATCGAAGAGTCTTGGAGTGGCTTTTGTGGAGCTATGTCCTTCCTGCAGAGAGATGCATAGAAACTTACGAGGATCAGCAACCTACAACTACAAGCTAAAGAGCAGAGGTACAAAGGTTGTTGTCATGGAAGTTACAGGTAGAGAG